TTAACACCTCAGTTGATGTTTGTTCTGAATACTGACTCTATAAAATTTGCAAAATTCAACCTCTTTCTTGTTTTTTCTCTAAAACTAAGGATCCTGTTCGCCTTCTAGCCCAGTCTCACGTAATTTACAGAATACCTTGTAATAATTGCAATGGTGCATATATCGGTACCACTATACAGTATCTTTCAAATAGAATTAACCAACATAAAAGGGATTACGTAGCTGGAAATTAGAGAAAAAGTGCGTTAGTGGCCATCATGTTAATGAGGGTAATCATTTTGATTTTAACAATAGTATTATCATAGATAGGGAACAGGTTTATCAAAAAAGGTTATTTTTGGAGATGGTCTATATTAACAAAGAAATAAAATCCGTTAACTTTAGAACTGATATCGATAATTTAAGCTCAATTTATAGTTACATTCTATCAAATAATTGGCAGTCTCAAGATAAATCCAATGTTAATGAAACATCTCTTTTTTTCTAAAGACATATTACTGTTTACAAGGGGATAATATTTTTATCGATTTAACGTAAGTTTTGAAAAAATTTATTTAACACACATGTTAACTATATTTTAACATTCTTAATATTTTGTTTTTTTTTTAATTTTTGAAAATTGTTGTGCGGCGCCGGCACCTCTGCTGGGTGACTGGTGTAAATGTTCAAATCATATTTTTGCGAGTTCTGGTTCTCAACGTTTTACTTAGTTGTAACGTTTAACTTCTTCAAAGTCATAGCATTTTGGTTTATAAAGATTTTAACGTTTTCTGTTTTACTTTGGAGTTAGAGATTAAGTTAATGTTGGTTCATTATTAAATAAATCCGTTTTTGACGCTTTTAAAGGTGATTGAATGCATCTGTTGCTTGAGGTGATTAAATCGGTTTCCATTTGTAAGTAGATTAGTTTATTTTTAGATCAATTACATTTTGTTCATTGTTTTGTTTTCTTTTGTTCAGTAACCCTGATGAAGGAATCAAAAAGATTTCGAAAGCTTGGTATAGAAAAAATGAGGCTGTTTTGTTGAAATCCTTGAAAAATTGGTCGCGTTTCCTAAGATTATTTTTCCTAGTTCCTAACGTGTAGCGATTGTCCGCTTCAATTAAGTTATTGATATGGTTCTTATAAAATCATTTTATTTCTATTATTTTTGTATTATTTATTACTCTTTATTATACATATAACTCCTTCAAAATTTAGAGAAGAGTTTTAAGGATTTATATGTACATGCTTGTAGATTTTAATTAAAGAATTAATCCTGGAATTACACTTTTTTAGCACCTGTATCAGGATTATTGGCAGCCATTGGTGTTCAAAAATCAAAATAATTGTCACCAAAGGCTAAACACCTATACAAAACAAGCACATATCTCAAGAAGAAAGTTACCATATAGCAACAACGCAGTCGTATGTCAAAACAAAGGTTGGAAAGCGCAAGAACGGAGTTTGAAGTTAAAAGCACTGGCTTGAGAAAGGAAACAATTGATTTTTGTTTGGCACAATTAACTGCTAAATCAAAGAAACCTCGCGGACGACGGTATTCTTACGAAGAAAAATTAATGTGCCTTGCACTCTACAAACATTCTGGAACATCCTATAAATTTTTATCGAAAATGTTTAATTTACCATCAAGACGTAACCATTATGCAGTTACTTTCGTAGTTTATTTGAGAATTTAAAAACGGTCACAGCAAAATTGAATTCTTTACAACGTCATTGCGTTCTCATGTTTGATCAGCGGAACAACGAAGAAATATAAATAAACAGTAGCTTACTATTTCTGCAAGGGAACAACTAAACAAGTTGATTGACTAAACAAGCTTATTTCTATCTTAGGCAATTATATCCTCATAGAACTTATTTGTCATATAATATCAAAAAACAATTATGTGATGCTTACGTCTTCGTTACATCTTTGGTATCATGATGGTATGACCGAGCATCGCTAGGCTGAAGGATATGAACTGGTTAATAATGAGTTCTAGACGTGAAGTGCTTACTTTGCAATTTGTTTCACAAAATAATCACGACACGGATCCCACGATACCTCTATGACAAAATTACATTTAAGTCAAATGACGGAAGATATCCAACCAGGTTTTGTTTTTACAAATCGCACTGTAATAGAAGGTAAGAGTTAATAGAAAATTATCACATAACATGCTATATTGTATTATTTTTTTAATTGTTCTAGGTTTGGTTCAAGAAGCCCGTGCATATTATTTAAAAAATAATTTAACAACAAAAAGAAGGTTGATTGTTTAAAGTAAAGAGAACATTCCTCTGTATGACATGCCCCACATTTTAAAAGGGGCTTAGAAACAATCTATTAAAAAAAAATTTAGTACGGCAAAAAGATCGTGAAATAATTGTTGGCCAAATGGGAAGATCTGGAGAAAGCATATGAAATCGATTGTGGTAGTGGCGATTAATGCCAAAAATCACCGATTTTCATGTAAGAAGGAATAAAATTAAAAAAATGAAAGTGACGTGCGGCCAAATTTTCAGATATCGCGGCTGTAGTATCTTACATGGGCAAAACAAGTATGTATAAGAAATAAAAACCGAATTTTGTATGTAAATACTCAATGGGCTTTCATAGTAAATATTGATTTTTTAGGCGCTACTGATATTAACGAGGGTATAAAAAACACGTCGCCCAGGAAACAGCCACAGCATTCAAATTTTTTGACCAGTTGTTTGATAACGTTAATGGGGGAAGCTATAGGCCAACTCTTTCACACCACTTTTTGGAAGGATGCAAAAGGTAATTATAACGCATTAATGTATGAAACAAACTAATTGTAAGATGAATATTATAAAATAAAATGTTATGTAATATAATTTAAATAAAAGTTATAAAAAATTTGGAAATATGCAACGGTGAAAAATCCAAGTTTTAATCAAAGTTTATGTTTTTTTTTGTTTTAGAGAAAATAAAGAACATGTTTTTTCAACAGGAAGGAACTGGTGAACAAGTTATCCCCACCAAGTTTAAAAAACTTTATTTTAAATTTGGAGGGATTCATTGACCTGAGCCAACTATTATTTTCTCATGGGACGTCTTATTATTTTCCACGATGCCTCAACCAAGACCCTCTGGAAAAGGGTCAGGTGCGTCAGCATAGAGGTCGAAACACAAATCCCACGCCGAAACAGTTCACGGAAACGTTTAAACGATTATTAATAAGAAAAATAGTTAGCACCCATTCAGTGGGTGCTAACTGTGGGGAAGATTTTGATTTCTAACCATTCCGAAAGATATCACTTTATTTAACAGGAAAAAAGAGATTCCCCCCTTAAACTATTGAACGTCCCGGATCTGAAAATGATGAGTTTTTGTCTCCCTCTCTATCACCAATATTACCACCAACTCCAACATCCCTTGCATCTATATCTTCAGCACCACAACATTCTCTGTCGGAAGTCAGCAAGCAGCCTGATAATCCTGAAGTAGAACTGCCCGAAATTCTTCCGACTGCTAGAAAACAATGTAGTAAAGAAAGAAAATCCTGTACATCTGAAAACGATGTCGATAAAGCAGTGGCAGAATATTACGCTGCGAAAAAAAAATCACTTGGATCTAAAGACGAAAGGAAAGAGGCACTTTTAAACTTTTTCAACAGCATTGTGCCCGACATCTTGCCACTGACTGATGCTCAAATAAGAGTGTTCAAGCGAAAAACTCTCCTTTTAATTGATGAGATAATAAGTAATAATACCATGTTAGATAATGTTTGCACATTAGTCACTCTTCTATTCCTCAAAGATTTCCATCAGAAACAACGTCGCTAACTGGTAGCTTCCTTTCAACATTCGATCCCACTCGTCCAAGTAAAAAATATAATCCTCCTTTAACTGCTGAACCTCAACTAGAAACGAACGCTTTTCAGTACCGTCAATTATAATCCTAATAGAGATGTACATATTAGGTATATTTATTTTTTGAAAGTTTTTTATATAAATATCTACATTGTATAACAAAGCTTGTTTTGATCTCTGAAATAAATAAGACTGTTTTGAGGAAACAGCATTTTATTTACCTTTGTAGCCGCTACGATCACGTCATCGATCGATGATGGTGACCACATGTTCGGACGAGTCCATGAAGAACAGAACAGAAGTAGTTGGACCGTTAAAGTGTTCGTATGTGTTTTTCCAGTTCTTGTATTTTTTCGTTAAATAAATCTGTTAACAAACAGCGAGACTTTTAGTACTTCACCTTAATGTAATTAAAATCCTTTCTTCAGCAGTGACGCATTCCATGGGTATTTTGTTGGTATTTTGGTGATAAAGAGCAGGGGTAATAATTTCCGCAAGAGCGGTATATGTCTCTTTTGACATTCTGTAGAATGCAAGAAATTTTGTATCACATTCTTGCACTTCTTTTGTCGCCACGAATAGCCTACATCTTATGCTTCGCTCGTTATAAGGATGAACCCAATGCTTTCTTTTGATTCTTTTCGTTCTTCTGTTTCTTCTGTACCGATACAAATAAAACATTTCTTCGTCTCTTGATGCACTCGACATTTTTACGCTATAGAACGCACAAGTTAACTGTTTAAAATTGCCCCGTGGGAGTACCCCTAGTTGCTCAGATCACCGATATCACAAGTATCGCTAACATCGCGTTGCAACTTTTTATTGCTTTCGTATTGCCCCGTGTGCGGAGGCCACAGAGTATACAGAGGCCGGACTCCGGCTAATAAATTGGCACTCCTATCTATCCTTGTTCAACTAATGAAAACTTCGTATGATACTTTCTCTCTCACATAAACTGAATCGATGTAGATGGCGCAATGGTCGCGTTACAGTAGTATTTAAAGAAACCAATAGATGGCACCATTTATTTCAAAATTTTTAAGTGGTAAACTCGTAGACTTTAAAGAAGGCAATAGATGGCGCCATGTATTTCAAGTCCGTAAATCTGTAAATCCCAGATGCGACTAGTTCTATCAGAACTTGCGTGACTTGTGGTGACTTGCTTATTCAGCATTTCAACATTTTTATTTACTTCATCAATCTTTTATCTGTGTCTTGTTTAATTATTGTGTAGTTTTGCCTGTTAAGCGTTTGATTATTAGATAGATTTGTTTAGTACTTTATTTGTTTGTATAACTTAGTTTTCATTAGTTTATTGCCATAGTTCGTTATCTTAGAATTAGTTAGTTTTTAAGGCCTAGTAGAGTTTTATAGTAGAATTTAGTTATAATGGATAGCAATTGCTACATTTGCGGACGTTCGGTAGAGGAAGTGGTTAAATTATTTTCTTTTCCATTAAATATCAATAAGTAAATTTATAAATTTAAGTTAGATAGATTTTTTGTACTAAATGAAAATTTACTTTGATACTTTAGACAGCGATTATGGAATGAGTGTCTTGGTGTACCAGCAGAAAACACGTACTCTAGACGTATGAGAATTTGCAACAATCACTTTACAATGGAAAGCTTTATGTTGAATAGGACCCCCTTGACCTTAAAAAGAGATGCAAAGCCTTTAAGAGTGATCATGAATGTAAATTCCAATTTCTTACTTCTAATTGCTTCTATTTACTTTTAGAATGAAATTTACAGTTCTAATTACATTTTCTTTATTCAGGAAGCACACATTGTAACGAGTGAACCGCTTAGACAGCCTGAACTGGAGCAAAATAATTTAACGGATTCTGTCATAGTAAGTTTTACTTTTATTTTCACTTTATCAATAACATTGATAGGATACCATATTATGTTGAGAGCTGTCAGAAACAAATTTTAATTAATTTCTGTGCTGGTTATTGTTATTTTTTAACTTTTTAACATTATCACTTTTTACTCAACAAGGTTTTTTTACTTTGTAATGTATTTAATAATAATAGTAATAATATATGTTTATTGATGATGCAACAAAAGTGCAACAAACCAAAAAAAAATATATACATATAAGTAAATAAAATCATGAACACTATAAAATTATCAACAAAACCGCCGGATTTGTGTATAAAATAACACTTTATTTATTTATAGGAGTTAAATATAACAAAAGACGCTGCCATACCTTCCTCCGCTACAAATCCAACAACAGAGTCAGTATTTAAGAAGAGCCAGTTTAGTGCAACAATCAAAGAAAAATCACTGCGACGAATTTTAAAGAAAAACAGATCCGGAGACTTAAAAAGAATTATGAAAATAAAACTACATTACTGAGAGATATGTTAAGCACACCAGAATCTTTTACTCAGGTTTTTAAAGGTAATAGTATTTACTTTCCAATTATTTAATCACGAATTGAGGCAACATGTTTAAGTCTTAGTTGTGATCATAGTTAAAGTAATGTAATCGTGATTAATAATAATAATAACAATAAGATAAATGACGAACTAAGAACTTAAAATTATGACTAAGACTAATACATGTTACATGAATCTAACATAATACAAGCTGAGTTAAGTAAATGTGTTGTCAAATTTTAAACACAACACATTTAAACAAAATGCAAGCAACTTTTCCACTGTAATTGTTTGTACAGATAAGAAAATTTCCTTCAGAATGCAGGTCAGGACGCTTCAGCTTTCAGACATTGCTGTTTACTTAAATAAATAGTTTGTTATTTTTTATCAGTTGTCTTTTATAACTTATCATGTTTAATAAAATTGCTTTGTTTTAATTCTTGTCTTGGTCGCTTTGTTACTTTATTCTACTTGCTGAAATATTGTTCCTTTTCGCTTTGTTTTAATTCTCGTCTTGGTCGCTATGTTATACATCATTTATTCTGTTCGCTGAAATATTGTTCTAATTGATACGAACAGAAACAAATAAAAAGAAATATTACAGTTTATATCAATTCTATGTTATAATTTATTCTGCTCGCTGAAATATTGTTCTAATTGATACGAACAGAAACAAATAAAAAGAAATATTACAGTTATATATTCCATACAGTTATATAAATAACATTTTATCATTAATTCTGTCTACTGCTCGTTTTTGCTGTAATACTTTTAATTTTAGTCGCTTTGTAGAATTTTTTTATTCTGGCTGTCTTAAATCTGTTGTTTGCAATTGTAATTTGTATTCCTAAATTTGTCTAGAAATTTATTTGACTTATGGTATGCTAGAGTTTTTCATGGGTTTTCCTCTAGCCTTGAAGAAAATGCTTTACCATTGTACAAAAACGCCCCCATGAGCATGAAAACGATTAAATGTAAATATTTGTCTATAAATATACATAGATTTGTTCTTCTGAAGTTTGTATTTTTATTTAATAACATTTTATTAGTTTTTTTTTAATATCAAGTTCAAAAAATCACTGTTTTCATCTTAAAACTTGTTCAAGTTTTGAGATGAAAATTTTTGATATTTTGGAATTGTTATTAAAAAAAATTTTAAAGAGTAATGAGATTTATATTCAAACGAGCATTCAAATTCCCGCTCGTATTTATCGATCCACTACACTACCGCCATCTACATCGATTCAATTTATATGAGAGAGAAAATACCATACGAAGTTTTGATTAGTTAAACAAGGATAGATAGGAGTGCCACTTTTATTAGCCGGAGTCCGGCCTCTGTATACTCTGTGGCGGAGGCCCTAACATTTCTTTTGACGTTTAACTGTCTACGTTTTTTGAGAGTGTTGATAAGAGTTTAAGTGTTTTGAGTACTTATTCAAGTGAAATTACCAAAAATGCAGCAATATTCAGATACAGAAATGGCTGATATGCACTTTGTGTACGGTCTTGCCAACGATAATGGTCGTGAAGCTCAGAGATGCTACGCAGAAATGTATCTGATGCGGACAACGCCTGATCACAGAATTTTTGCCGTTATTCATCGACGTTTATGTGAAAAAGGTTTATTTTCACACAGTAATAAGGATTCCGGGCGGTCTCGGGAAGTTAGGACTATTGCCGTTGAGGAAGAAGTGTTAAACTGGATCGATATATACCCAGAAGCAAGTACAAGGGATTGCTTGTAATTTAAATATTAGCCACAGCGTGGTATGGAAAATAATAAAAGAACAACAACTTTATGCGTACCACAGTCAACGTGTTCAAGTTCTCTTGCCTTGCGATTTTTCACAACAAACCAATAATTCATTTTTAAAAAATATTTTATTTACGGACAAATCTAACTGTTCAAGAAGTTCCATACTAAATTTGCACAACAACCACTGGTGGGCCGATGAAAATCCACACAGAATTACAGAAACACGGCATCAATATGAATTTTCTTTAAATGTGTGGATTGGAATAGTTGGTGACTACTTAATTGGTTCCTATTTTTTGCCGCAGCGGTTAACTGGAGAGGGTTATTTAAATTTTATCTCAAATGAATTAAACGGTCTTCTCGATGAAGTTCCTTATGAAACACAAAGACAGATGTGGTTCATGCATGTTGGGACACCAGCCCATTTTAGTTTAATCGAAATCGATGGATTGGTCGCGAAAGTAATCATGTATGGCCTCCTCGATCAGCCGATTTAAATCCTATCGATTTTTGTATCTGGGGGCGCCTATGTAAAAACTTTGGTGTGCAAAACGCCAATTCGCAATGTGGAAGAGTTGAGGGAAAGAATTGTGGTGGCGTGTAATGAAATACGAGAAACTCCTGACATTTTAAGCAGAATTCGCGATAATATGCGACGAAGATTAGAGGCGTGCATAAGTGAAGGTGGTCATTTCGAACATTTTCTATAACAATGGAGTTTATTTTACAGCAATAACGTTTCTTCTTTAACGCTTCTTATTACGTTAACGACCGGTTCTTTTTAGAACCACAAATTAATTTTTGAATAAGTGTTATATGTCATCTATTGGGATGAAGAGGAAGTGAGAATAAGGAAGAGAACAGTAGAGAAATTAGCTACAACGGATTTGTCATATAAGAGAATAGATTGTAAATGGTCATTCGTTTTACCTTAACTTTTACTTACGTTGTAATAAAGTAAGAAATAATACATAGATAAATAAACAGTAGTTAAAGTTAACTTAAGACTTTGTTTTACTTACATCGTTCATACACAACAAGTGGCGACGAGGATAAAGACAGATCTTAAGACGAGGATTAAGACAGATCAAGGTATTCAGGGAAATTCAAATTCAATGGATCTATGAGGAATCCAACTACAAAAGTTCGACGAAGGAAATGAAACATTTGAGTCGTACGTACAAAGATTAAAAAATTACTTGGAATTACCAAAGTTAACGAAAGATACACCAGAAAATGAAAAAAGGAAAGTTCAAATTCTAATCAGTTGTTTGGGACCTAAACACTACCAAATATTAACAAATCTAACAGCACCAGACCTACCAAAGGAAAAAAAATACGAAGATCTTATAAACCTTTTACGAGCACACATTTCTCCAAAACCAAGCGAGAGAGCAGAACAACACAAATTCACAATGCGAATACAACATGAAAGTGAATCTATTGCACATTTTCACACTGAATTAAAGAAAATTACGACAAATTGTAATTTTACTTGCGAAAAAGCAATAGTAAATTGTCCAAAGGCGAATAACGTGGAAGAAGTAAAAGTATTTTTAGGGCTTATCAATTACTACCAAAAGTTTATACCCAACTTAGCATCAAAGTTACATCCTATAAATTGAAGTTTCAATAAATTAAAGAAAGAATAGCAGGATCGAAAGTACTTACACGATACAACCCTAACCTTAAATTAGTATTAGCTACAAACGCATCTCCTACAGGATTAGAAGCAGTAATATCACACATTCTACCAACAGGAGAAGAAAAACCAGTGGCTTTTGCATCAAGATCTCTTACAAAATCCGAGAAAAATTATAGCCAGATTGACAAAGAAGCTACCGCAATAGTCTGGGGATTGAAAAAGTTTTTTTCAATATTGTTATGGAAGAAAAATAACACTTATAACCGACCACAAACCGCTTTCAAGAATTTTTCATCCCGAAAAGATTTTACCGGCAACTTCAGCGATAAGAATATTACACTATGCAAGTTACATGGCAGGATTTAAATACGAGATTGTACATAGAAACACAAAAGACCATTGCAATGCAGATTTTTTATCTAGATTCTCCTCAGAAGATTACACTGATATAACCAAACTAACACATGGGAGCACATTCTACTTAAATCAACTGAAACTATTACCAATTAATAGAGACGATATAAAAAGAGAAATGAAGAAAGATCCAGAGATAATGAAAACAATAAGACAATTAGAAAACGGATATGAAAATGATCAAAAGTTATTAAAATTCATATTGGAAGATGGATGTTTGTTTAATGGAGTGAGGACAGTTATTACAAAGACTTTACAAGAAAGAATTCTAGAGGAATTACATACAGCACACACCGGTATTGTTAAAATGAAAGCACTCGCAAGAAACTATATATGGTGGAAAAACATCGACGCCGACATAGAAAATTTAACAAAAGGATGTAAACAATGTTGTCTTTATAAAAACAATCCTAAAGCAGTGACACAATTTCACACATGGGATAGTCCAAGATCACCATGGCAACGTGTATACATTGACTATGCAGAGCCATTCCAAGAACATTACTTTTTGATTATAGTGGATGCTTATACAAAATATTTAGAGGTCTTTCCAACAAAATCAATGACAGCATCAATAATAATAGAAAAACTAAGAGAAACTTTCAGCTGTTTTGGACTACCAGTTATTTTGGTTAGCGATAATGCTACAAATTTTAAAAGTTTCTCATGCAACCGGTTCGTTAGAAGTTTTTTTAAGTTCCACCATTGATATTTTGGGCTTACAAATCTGTTTAATCTTTCTTACGCAACAACTATCTTAAGAATAACTCTTAAGAGCAGTCATTCAAAAATACTTATAGTAATACAATTATAAGGGGTTTTAGGGCGTAGGCTTCTACCGAATTATTAAATTTATGCGTGTACTTAAATAAAATATTTTGGATATCTCATTTAATTCCAACATGGAGTATTTGTACAATGGGAGCTATACTCATTCCGAATTTAGTTTTTTTCATTTTTATTAAATTGGCTTTTTAAAAATTTTATATTTTAATCTTAGTAACTTCTGATATATATGTATCATATTAATATTTTTGTTTGATTATTAAATATTAAGAAATAAAACCCTATCATAATTAATATTTGTTGTATTAGAGAACACAGTACATTCAATCTCAGTAGAGGCAGTAGAAAATGGACAAGAATTTTATAGTTTTAAAGAAAATTAAAAAAATGGATTGGGATGATGCCAAAACAAAATTATTGCTGCATCTATATAAAGAAAGAAACTTTAGTTGAACAACGAAAAATAAAAACTTTAAAGATAATGTGGAATTTGATAAGTGATCAAATGAAGGGGTACGTTACATCTCCTCTAAAAGTAGAGAACAAGTGGAAGAGTCTTGAAAGAGGTTATAAAAACAAACTCTTAACATCAAAGAAAACTGGAAGGGGCAGAAGATCCTGCCCATAGAAAAGGGAATTAGAGGATATTTTAGCAAAGCGTCACTCTATACAACCCCTTTGTACCTTAGGGAGCTCGACAATGGGGAATATCGATGATATTATGGGATAAAAGCAAAAACCAGATTGTTCAATAGAAGGATGCATAGAAGATGAAGCAATTGCAGGACCTTCGAACGTTTCAATTCCTGAAGCTTTCGGCTTCACCGATGCTTTACACCAACAGGAACAGAACCTCCGATCAATTTAACTAACCAAGTGGTGATTCAAGAAATAGAAACTCCATCCCAGAACAGAAATCGGGACCGCACCACGGCTGGAGAATTAAGTAAATTAAGACAATTGGAAGAAGAAATGAAAACTTGTAATGAATTATTAAGACAACTCTTAAATAAAAAACAATGAACGGCTTAAGTATTTTTTATCTATTAATAAATAATTAAAAATTTCGTTTCTTAACACTGTTCCTCTATTTCTGTTCTCTTTTTCGCCCTGCGTTGCTGATTGTAGATCATCCACTGATTCATGTTGTAAAACATTTGTGTTTTCTTCATCGACCAAATTGTGAAAAACACAAAATGCACGAATGAAATGACAAATTCTTTCTGGGCCACGAAGCTTCAGGTAATACTGTCGGCATCATTGTTTCAACAATCCGAACATGTTCAATAGATATTACAATTCGCTATTACAACAAAAATATAATCAAAAAGTAGGAAAATTAAAGGTGCTGCTGTCAAAAACTCAATCCATTGCCCTGACTACTGATGCCTGAACTGCTCAACACAGTGAAAA